ATGAAGGCGTGAATCGGGGAGAGTACAAACGTGGCCTTTGTTTTTGTTTGTGAGTTTGGTACGACAGCCAGCTAGCCAGGGATAAAAGATCCAAAGCATGGTGCCAGCTCCTCATCTCTCATTTGCCCCTCTGTTTTGTTCTGTTGCAGAACCAGTCCAAGGAGGAAGAGGAACAGTGGCATGCACGAGGAAGATTGATATAATTTATTGAAGCGAACGACAAGTAGTTCCAAAACTTCCGAATTTGTCCTGTTGTTCGCTCTCTATTCAATTATCATCCTCGCATGTTGTAATATTTCTTCAATTAGACCCCTCATGCTTGTTATTTTGGTCCCTTACTCATTCAAATTCTTGCAATCGTACCCCTGCATCTCTTGATTTCGATTTTTGCTCTTTTAATTTGTTCGATTGCACCTTCAGCTGTATTTTCTAAATAATTAACCATATTCTTTGTATTTTTCTTTCTCTCTCTCCCTCTTTTTATTGTTGAATTTTTTTAAAAGGATAAATTATATTAAAATTTTAAGTAAGATCAAAACTAATAACAATAATAATAATAAACATAAAATAAATATGCACGCATAAAATTTGTAAAAAAAAAAAATAGAAACAAATTTTGAAATAAATAAATAAATAAAAGGTCATTAGTCAAATTTGATGAATATAAATTTCGTTATTTGCATCAAATTTGGCATAAACAATAATATTCCATAAACCATGATACTTGATAAAAATATTTCAATCTTAATTTTTTTCTTCAAAATTTTAGAAAATAATCATGATATTAAATTCATTTATAGTCTTAATTAACTGTAAGTTTATATACAGGCTTTTGGAATTTAGCATCATGAATTCTTAAATTTCTTAAAAAGAAACGAAAGAGAGGTTAGAATTTATTCACTCTACAAAAATAATGGACCAAGATTAATAATTAAAGAAATGGGAATAGCATCTTTAGTTTTTTTTTTTTTTAAGTATGATAGTAAAAATATTTTCAATTCATTTTATGCATTAATTGAAAATAATAATTTTTTTTAATCATTCAGGGTATCCTAGACTCAAAAGTCTAAATTAATTTCTCGCTATCCTGTAGGGTATATAAAACAGAGATAACTATCAAAAAAGAGTTTTTTTACATATACGAAAAACTCAAATTATCTTTTGAGATAATTTATTTAAGTGCTTAGAGTCTTTTTCCACTCAAACTAACCCTCTTGAGTATTAAATATTTTTTTTTAGTTCAACAGTAAAATTATTTCCAAAGTAGTTTACTCATCAACCAAAATTAATTTTTTTTCCGACCATTCAAACTTTTTTTAATTTCACTTTTAACATTTTTATGAAAATTCTCAACCCTTTGAATGATTTATAATGCTTATCATGGGCCAGCTGGGCTTGGGCTTCATAAAATTTAAATGAGTCTAGCCTAAAGTCCCAAAAACCTCAGCCCATGAACTAAGTCTAGTTTGTTTAATGTATTTGGAGTTTTTAGTAGTCTTCTTTCAGGCAAGATGATATGCAAAACAGCAACAAAGATCATAGCCAGAACAGAACTCCCCTGTTTCCAAGAAACATGTTCTCGACTTGTGTCCTTCTGCAACTCCAAGTCTTTAAAACAAGGTGTTTGCATTCACAGTCCAATAATCAAACTGGGTTTTCAAGATCACTTGTACCTAAACAACAATCTGCTGTCTCTCTATGTAAAATGCTTTACTTTGGACAATGCACGCCAGTTCTTCGATGAAATGCCATTCAAAGATGTCGTGTCTTGGACTGGGATTCTTTCTGCTTATGTTAATTATGGAAAACATGAAGAAGCACTTGAAATGTTTCAGGAAATGATGGGTTCTGGTTTTTGTCCGAATGAATTTACTTTTTCGAGTGTTCTAAGGGCTTGTTCGGCTGTAGGAGAATTTGGTTATGGGAAATGTATTCATGGTTGTATGATAAAACATGGGTTTGAGCCAAACCAGATTTTGGGGTCCGTTTTGATTGATTTGTATTCTAAGTTTGGTTCTATTGAGGAGGCGAGTAGGTTATTTAGTTGTGTGGATGATGGTGATGTTGTTTCGTGGACGACGATGATTTCTTCGTTTGTTCAAGCTGGGAAGTGGAGTCAGGCTTTGGGGATGTATATGAATATGATTAAAGCTGGTGTTTGTCCAAATGAATTCACTTTTGTTAAGGTTTTAGCTGCTTCGGGGTTTCTTGGTTTGAAATATGGAAAATTGGTTCATGCCCATTTGATAGTTTTTGGGGTTGAGTTGAACTTGGTAGTGAAGACTGCCCTTGTTGATATGTATTCAAAGTACCAGAGGATGGAAGATGCTATAAGGATTTCAAAGCTGACACTAGAATCTGATGTGTTTTTGTGGACTGCCATTATCTCTGGCTTAGCTCAAAACTTCAAAATAAAGGAAGCTGTGGTTGCATTTCAGGAGATGGAGGCCGCTGGAATTTTACCGAACAATTTTACGTACCTGAGTATGTTGAATGCTTGCTCGTCTATTCTGTCCCTTGATTTAGGGAGACAGATCCATGCAAGGGTGATCATGTCTGGTTTGGAGGATGATGTACCTGTTGGAAATGCACTTGTTGATATGTACATGAAATGCTCTCGTGAGGTAGAAGATGGCTTGAGAGTGTTTGAAGGCATAGAGTTGCCTGATGTGATCTCTTGGACATCTTTGATCGCTGGCCTTTCTGAACATGGTTTTCATCAAGATTCTTTTGACTCCTATGTGGAGATGACAGCTGCTGGACTGCAACCAAATTCTGTTACTCTATCAATCATCCTCAGATCCTGTAGTGCAGCAAAATCTGCAAGTCAATTATTGAAGCTGCACGGGCATGCAATCAAGATGAATGCTGATCGTGATATTGTTGTCAGCAATGCTCTAGTAGATGCTTATGCTGGAAATGAAAGGGTAGATGACGCATGGCATTTAGTTAGAAATATGAGCGTAAGAGATGCCATCACATACACAGGTTTGGCCACAAGACTGAATCAGATAGGCCATCATGAACGGGCACTGAATGTAATCAGTCACATGGTTAATGATGACATTAAGATGGACGGGTATACCATGGCCAGCTTCTTATCCGCATCGGCTGGCTTGAATAGGGTGCAAACTGGAATGCAACTTCATGGTTATTCTGTAAAATCTGGTTTATGCAGCTTCATTTCAGTCTCCAATGGCCTAGTTGCCTTGTATGGAAAATGTGGAATTACTCATGATGCACAGAGAGCCTTCGCAGAAATAAGTGAGCCAGACATTGTGTCATGGAATGGGTTGATATCTGGGTTGGCATCTTATGGGCATATCTCTTCTGCTCTCTCTGCTTTTGATGAGATGAGGTTAACTGGAGTCAAGCCTGATCCTGTTACCTTCTTGTCAGTGCTTTTCACTTGCACTCATGGTGGGTTAGCTGACATGGGTCTTGAGTATTTTAATTCAATGAGAGAAATGCATGGTATAGAGCCTCAGTTGGATCACTATGTTTGTTTATTTGATCTCCTTGGCCGAGCTGGCCGGCTAGAGGAGGCAATGGAAATACTAGAAACCATGCCTTTTAGGCCAAATGCTTCAATCTACAAGACTTTGCTGGCAGCATGCACGGTTCATAGGAATGTGCCTCTTGGGGAAGATATAGCCAGGCGAGGCCTCATGCTTGATCCATCAGATCCTGCATTCAATCTGATGCTTGCAAACTTGTATGATAATTCTGGACGGTCTGATTTAGCTGCTACAACTCGCAGGTCGGTGAGAGATGAAGGTTCATCTCTTCCACAAAAGAGATATAGTTCACATCCAGATATTGATGTGATGTATGAAAAATTTGAATCACTAACTACATAGTCTAATGATCAGGGAGATCAATCTGAAGATAATGGAGATTAGTTTTACCAGTGTGAGAAGTTTCATTAGTGGATTCGGTCTCCAAAATGTACCATTAAAAGCTTCGCTATGAACAACAAAGTTACAACCTTACAGAGACAATGGTGTTTTCTATTTGTGACTGCACACATGGCCTGCTGCAATTAAGAGGAACATACAGTAATGCACGGATCCTTGTGAATTTCCTGGTGTTGTCTGAAGCGGTAATGCGAAACCCTATTCTTTACTTAATGGCTATTCAATTCTCTTCATATTTGGTATGAAACATTCTTAGAACTGCCATCATCCGGTGACTTTTGCAACCACTCAAAATATCCTTGATAATTATTGCAGTATTAGCAATAATTCAATGCTCTTGTACTCTTACATAAAGTCTAACCTAACGGCTATACAATAATAATAATGGTTTGGCAACATGCAAATTAATTTTCTTTAGAAACAAGAACGAACAATCATTGAAGGCTATTACCACAGTTTTAAATCGCAGCCATTGTTGTAGAAATATTTAATCACCACTGCAGATTACGATTTATCACAATAGTAAAATAATTTATCACAATAGTAACTAATATCGTGAATGTATTAATAATTATTAATAAATTTATTTAAATATAAAGAATAAAAAGTGCTTTTTTGGAAATAAATGTAACTGTTATATACTATCGTAATTGTTGTTATTTCAGCCGATATCACAATCGACCCATTCCACTGTTGTTTTTAAGCCTGGCTTGTAGCTTGTAAGTTGTAAACAAACAATTTATCATACGCTACACGATACACCATGCCCTAGCCCACGGAAGGAACACTTGCCCTCCTGCCTACAAAAGTGTTAAAAAGGCCACCAGCACACATATTCTGATCAGTCAAATACCAGATGTGTTATTTTCACGGAAAGATATGTGAGAGTGTAAAAAAGGAACAAATTTCTTGCAACACCCATTCACGTCACGATTATTGCCGGAATGGTCAAGCCGGAGTCTCATAAATTGAATCCTATTCAATCTGGAAAATAGGGATTACAAGATAACAAACACAAACAAGAGACTAACAACAAAGAAACAGATGAGCTCAGTCTTTCTCAAAATAACTGTCAGCAGCATGTTACTCCTTTGACTGCGACTCACCAGATGTGACAGCAGGTGCATCCTTTGGTTCCACACGCTTTGTCTGCACAGCCTGGAGCGTCTGGTAAAATTCTGAAGGGAGAGGACCAGGTACATGCTTTGGCACATGCTTAGGAATGGGAGCATCGTTCTCTATAATTTCGCATTCATAGTCGTCAGGAACACCCCAAGGATCCCACTCTGTGTTCAACAATACAAAATTTTATTAGTAGTTAAAGGGATAAGAATAAGCAATAACGCTCTAGCATGCAAAGCAGGCTTCCCAGAAATTAACCGAGCATGATAGATTATCTCACATGTAGTTGCTAAGACAAAATAAAAATGCTAGCTAACAAACCTTGAAAGCCAAAATTCATATTTCAGATACAGTATGTTCCCCAACAAGATGTCTCATAAGCAAAAAAAAAAAAGGTTAAAAAAATGATGATTATAATGCAAATGGAAGTTTAAAATCATTATGCATGCTCCCTTTTTCTCTTTTTTCTTTCTTCTTTCTTTTTCTGAAAAGATACTCCATGAAAATCTTCCATTTGCATGCAAATTGGTGAACTTGGTAGGCTGAGAATGATATACATTGAAGTGGTAAAAAAAATGACCATCATAAAACTCACAAAAAAAGTGCCTCAAAATCGAAACAAAACAGAGGAAAATCATCGATTCGAGTTACCAACTGATTAGGAACTAAACGTAGCTGACCTGAGTACACATTGACAGTCTTCACAAAAATGCACTGCCTGCTAATAACCTACAACCCCCATCTCTTAAATTATAATTGACACGATACCTATGGAATCAAACTACATTTCACATGAAACTCACTTTAACACTACAGTTAGGAGAATGAAAGATGTAGACTGAACCAAACTTCATACATTTCAAATACAGTATATTAGCCAACAAAAATCAAAGAAACCAATTAGAAATGACCCATGCAAATGGATTTTCAAGCTTGCCTGAACATACTCCATGACTTTTTTTCTTATTCGACTTTTAGTTTACTTTTATTTTATTTCATTGTTTGTTTAAAGGACATAGCTGATTGCAATTCTCGAATCCATACAAATCGATAGACTGGCAGACCAGAAAGAAGTATGCTTTGAGTGGTAAAACATGACTTGAAGTTTCACTCAAAGCTGCCTAATCTCGTAACATTATCCATCAGCAACACCAACTAGTTTGGAACTATAATTAGTAGGGGTGATCACAAATTCCCAAACTTCGTGACGAATATACTACCAACTCTCATCTCTTAATACATCATTTACAAAATCCCAATAGAATTCATTTCTCTAAAGACACCCTTCCAAATATTTGAAAAAAAAGCACGAGACTCGAAGATAACAGTCCCTTATATACATCCGCTCGAGACGTTAATCAACACAACAAAATTTAAAATAATTAAAATTAGCATACTCCATCCTCTATTCAAGCTCAGCTAGTTCCAATACTCTTCAAGCTCATTAATTAGCTAAACAAATTAAAACTAAGCACAAATTTAACCTAAATTATCTACACGACAAGCTTGAACAATCACATTGATTCTTAACGCACATATATGATTAAAAATAATTATAAAATTAAAACTCAATCAAAACAGAACAAAAATCGCAACATATATATATATAATCAATTATAATAATAATAAATCTGAAAAATGCACGGACCGATCATTTTTTCGATGAGCTTGAGCTCATCCTGAGCTTCCTCGATAAGCTCTTCGACCTGACCACAGCCAATCCGTTGCTCAATCTTCTCCCAATCTTCTTCTTCTTCACAAACTTTTAGTCTGTGTGTTGTGAAACTCTCCACTGCTTTACGGTATCCTTCATCTTCCGGTACTGCTTTGATCTCGTTTAGGGTTTTGTTGTATAGATTGATCAACACTGCTCTCGCATTGGGGACCACTTCCAATCCTACGATCCCTGTTGTTTGCTTCACTTTAGCCAGTAATGGCCGTCCGATTGCCCGTAGGAACATCGCCGATATGAGAGTGCTGCCACCCTGGATCACGACTGGTTTTGTTTTCTCTAGCAGTGTGGAGCTGTGTTGTTCTTTTTTGGGTTTTGGAGAGAAATGAAGGACCGTTGATTGGGTTATTATTGAGTGCGGTTGGATTGGCGAGAAAGCGTAAATCGTGACCTTAGATTTGGAGTGATGTGTGGGTCCTGGAATTTGACGTTTAAGATCTAATGGGTGAAAGATATGACTTAAACTGGCCTAAAGGGCCCATCATTGTCTGTAGACTAACTAAAATAGTGTGGGCTGGCTATTAAGTTTAGCCCATAATGTTTCGAGGTAACTATAAAATTGAGGCCCAACTAAACTAGTTTTCATCCTTATATGTTCTCCGATCCGAAAAAAAAAAAAAAAAAAAAAAAAAAAAAAAAACCATCTTGTTTTGCAACATCAAGATGTGGAACCATCAGTTCTATGGTTAACCATCGGTTTAGAATCGTCGATTTCGGTTTCATGATACCTTAAATCATAACCAATCCGTAGATGGTCGGTTGCAATCCGATTCAATCAAAGTTACGGTTTTAACGATTTCAATTCGATTTCGATTCGATTTATGGTTCGAATCGAATCGTTATCATGTCTAGCAACATCTACATCATGGAGTAAGAGTAAAAAAACTCAAACTATCGTTTGTCCTTTTTCTCTCTCTCTCTCTCTCTCTATATATATATATATATATATAATGGTAAAAATATTTTCAACTCAATTTATGTTTCAATTGAAATTATTTTATATATATATGGATTTTAAAAACACATTTCTGATATCCATCATGTATAGGCAAAAGTATCTAACTTGATAATAAGAGGAGACATTGATGATAAGAACGACTTTAGGAATTTATAAAGAAGCTAGTTGATGAAGTCATGATCTTCACATTAATATTAATATTAGATGACTTTTAATTCAAGTTGATTATGCAGTTAATATAGTTTGTTGTTCAATGGATTCATGGCAATTTCTTACAAAACAAATCATTATTTGGTATTTGGTGGACCTTCTGATGATTAAATTACTATTAATAATTGAATGATTTTTATCAAATGCATGTTCTTTCTGTCTCATAAGTAAAAAGAAAAATTTTATCCAGGAAGTTTGCTAGTACGTCTATAGTCTAATCCATAGCTGTACTTGCTAGGAAACATCTCAGATTGTTTTTCCTCCCTTGAATTTATTTCTTTTCGTCTTTGTTTATTCTTTAATTTCAGTCACGCATTCCATCAAATCTTTATCTCGCATAGAAAGAGACGTATTGTCACATGGAGGAAAAAAAATGCTTTGACAATAACGGTATTATTTTATTTTTTTTTATAATCCAGGTTGGCTGGGACAACTTGCACGCACCATGACTAATCCCCGAATACACCGAATACCCCGCAAGCCTAGGAGGCGGGTAAAGCATCGCGGGGTGACGAGCGTGCACGAGAGAGTCGAACCCGGGTAGTTATCCGAGGGCAAGCTCTAAATCGCTAAGCTACGACCTCAAGTGCACAATAACGGTATTATTGATTGTAGTACTTGATGCCTATAATTGTAGTAAATCATCACTTTTTTTTCAATAAAAATATCTTAAATCAGTTTGCATTTTGATCGATATTAATTTTTCTTTCCTAAACGGTTCTAAAATACATCGGCTCACGTTTGTATTTAAAACCTATTTAATTAAAAAAAAAATTGTTTTGACTTTAGGATTTGAATTTAAAAAGTTAAAGAAAGAAATAAATAAATTTTTTTAATTACCGAGTCAATTGAGGAGAAAATGAATTTGGAAAAATGTTGATATATAATGTAACATAAGTTTTTGTTTGACAATTATTGGGTTCACAGTATTAGATTAAATTAGTCTTATTTATTGTATTAGGCTAAATAATAACTTAGTTTTTTTTATTAATTTTTCGTTAAATTAGTGATTTTTGTTTTTAAATTGTCCTTTCTATAATTTTTTTGTGGAGGAGAAAAAAAGAGTAGGTAAAAAGAATAAATAAAGCATGAAAAAATCAAAACTTAAAATAAAAATCACTAATTAAATAGAAAATTAATAAAATGATTAAGTTATTAATGAAATTAAACTGTGAGGGACTAAATTACTAGTTTGTAAAAAAAAAAAAAAAAACTAACTAATTTGTTTCTTGAAAAGAGAAGAATTAATTTATACTTTACTTCTTTTTTGTTAAATTTTGGATAAGCTATCGATATTTATAATTTTTTTAAAAAAATATTTCTACATCCTCTCTTTGGATTCAACCGAAAATAATAAATTAAAAGGCAAAACACTCGAGCCAATGCTTCAAGAATCAAAAGGAGCAAATCTCTAAGTCTCGAAATTTGAAGGATCAAATCTAATAGAAGAAAGATGACTTTGGATTGGGCTAAAATAGTTTTCTGGGCTCAGAAAACGAGGCTTGTGATGTAGACCGAATGAATGATTATGATAAGTAGTTGTCAATCATAGAGTTAGAAAATTTTCAAAATTAGTGTCAATTAACGTCTAATTTGATGATGGGGAATTATTTATACGTACAAGATATTAAAATTTTAAAATATTTGAATTAAAAAAAAATCGATTATGGGATTTGGTTGGAGCATATTTTATTTTTATAACAGTGATCAATTTAGTCTGTCGATATAACTTTTTTTTTTTAATATTAATATTAATCCTTTAAGCTGTCGATCACTGACTATGAATTGTAAGATATTATTTATAAAAAAATTTCATAATATATTAAATAAAACTTCAATCATTTAAATCTCACTCATTCTCTTTTTTTTTTATTATTAAATGAGTGGATCCCATCATTGATATTAAAAATTAGAGGTTTAAATTTTTGAATAAAAGTAATCATTATTCGCAAGATATAAACCCACCAATTTCTTTCTTTGGTTTGAGACTCGTGTGTTGAAAAGACACGAGAATTAATTAAACCTATTTGTGTTTTGAAAAGAATTAGGTAGAACAAATTTAAAATAAGAAGAAAGAATGAAGTTGTTGACCTCAATTTTCCATGTTAAACTGAAAAAATTGAAAAAAAAAAAGATTAAGAGCAAAAATATACGTATATGTGTAATATGGAGTAAATTATAAATTAGTCCTTCCAATTTTAAAAAATAAATTAAAATATCTCTTAGTTTAAAAACTAATTATTTAATCCTTTAACACTCTTAATCATGTTTGATTTAATTTTATTTTATTTTAAAAAATATATTTTTTCTCATTATTTTTTCTACAATATCTTCTTCTTTTTTTCATTTTCTAAAACAAAAAAATAATTAAATTAGAAAAGAACAAAAAATAATTAAAAAAGGCTAAATAACTATTTTTTAAAACAAAAGAGACTAATTAATTTATTTCTCAAAATTAAATGGACTAATTTATAATTTACTCATGTCATTTGTGTGTATACCGACACTACGTTTGCTAAGGTTGTTCGTGCCTGGATGGTCTTTAACTATGTCTCATGTTTGAACCGTCGTTGAGCAAATCACGTGCATGCGGCAAGTGGCATGATTTGCTCCAAGGGTAAGATTGGTAATGACATGGTAAATAAATAAATAATAAGTCAAATAATTATGTCTGATATTCATGTCCTCTATCCTCCTAGAACATCTCAATTTGAACCTTTTTTTTTTTTTTTTTTTTTTGCGCCATGGAAAAAAGAAGAAGAAGTATTGAGATAATAGAAGTATATTGTTCTAAACTAAAACTAATAATAGTAAAATTAATGGATTATGTTCATCGATTAACAACGTTATAATAGAAAAATAAAAACAAAATAAAATAAAAAATTTAATCAATATGAAAAAAATATATATTTTAATCAAAATAATTCGAAGAGTATAGAAAATTATGGATTATAAAATAAGCAAAACATTACTTATAAAGAAAATATCTCTTTGGATTGTAGACTTATTTATAATAAGAAAATTAACTTTTAAATAATTGGCACGGATAATACAAAGAATATTCTTTTTCCTAAAGATTTAAGATTTGAATTTTGTCATTTTTTTTTTTTGAGATCTTTAAGGTATCTCGTGCTTAAAGGTACGGAATAATTTATCCTTGTACGATCGGACATAAAAACATACATAAATATTCGAACTTGATGCTACTTGTTTAAGCTATTAAAACCTCTTTTATTTGAATTAATCTTTTTGGATTTTGAATTTTGCCATTGGCTTCTTGAAAAAAATAGTATATTTACGTTAAATTAGCTTTATTTACATAAATATAGTCGGTTCCCTTCCCATTAATGCCGGTGTTACCAACATTTTTTTCTTAAAACAAAAGTACAAAAATGACATTTTCAGTCCTATAACAAAAGATATGATCCCTTTCAATCACATTTGGCATAATAAAATATCCCACTTGACATATGCTAGGAAGAACAACTTGCATCATTATTTAACATCATGAGAATCTTGAGCTACCTCATGGATGATGTTAAAGGTTGCTCTTTTAATAATTATATATTTAGAAAAAAGTTAAATAATCTTTGAAAAACTATATTGAAAAATACAAGTACAAAAATTAAACAAATCAGGAAGATAAGTTTGACCTATTCTTACGTCCAAGAATATAAAAGATTTGACCTTGAACCTCATCAATGGGAGTGTGACCAGGCACGAAAAGGGACCCTGTGTTTGTCTCGTGATAAAGAGTAAATTATAAATTAGTCCTTCTACTTTTTATCAAAACAAATTAAATAATTTTTTTTAGTTCTAAAAACAAGCTGAGCAAATATCGAATTTATTTCGTGACGTCTCTAGAATGGAACTCTCACCTAAAAGATTCTTAGTCTTTGGTCGAACATCGCACCCAAACGCTATGTAATGAAATCTTTTATATGAAAGAATTCATTAATTCTACGAAGGACCACTAATTAATTAATCTCTATTTTTTAAAATCTATTCATAACTTAATTCTTCTTTTTTTTTCAATTTATTTTGATCTTTTATTTTAGAAAATAGAAAATAAAAACTATGAAAGGAGTAATGAGAAGAGAATTTTTTTAGAACAAAATAATATTAAATTAATTATAGTCAATACTGATTAAAGAATTAATTAATTAGTTTTGAAAAAGGATTATTTAATTCATTCATTCTACAAAACTAAAGGGACTGATTTATAATTTACTTCGTAATAATGGATACTGAAAAACTTAGTCTGTGTCACGGTTTGTAGTCTTCCCTACGTGGAACCAACAACTGTCATGAACCCACTTCATTATTGACAATTTTGCTTTATCAAAATTTACATTATATTTTCTTGGTTAGAATTTATGAACATAATGGAATTGTGATTTTTTTTTAATTCAATAAGGTTTTTCAATTAGTTTTTTTTGCATATGAAGATTATTTTTTTATCTCTAGATTATTACAAGTTTAAAAGTTCATATTAATCTTTCGATATTCAATCGGACACACAAAACAAACATAATTATTTAAAAAAAATTTGTGTATACAAAAATTTAAATTTAAAATTATTTATTTAAACGACTAGAATCTCTTATAATCACTCCAATTCTCTTGGATGTTAAAACTAAAATTTTATGCTAAAGTTTCAAACGCCATATTTACGTTTAGGTTTTTTGAAAATTTACTAAAATAAGGGGTGGTGTTGAAAACGAAAAACTAAATTTTAATATCCAAAAACTTGATATCGTTCTAAATCTATTACCTTCTTATACTTTTTTTTAGATTTGAATTCAAAATAATAACAATACAATGAATCTAATACACTCTCAACTTGAGCCAAAAATAAAAAATTAAAGTGAATCCTCTCAATCCAAAATGATACGAAATAATATAATTATTTTTTTAGGTTCAACAATAAAAATATTTTCGAATTAGTTTTTATGTACTTCAAAAAATTTGTTTAAATTCTCAACATAGGTAAGAGATATTCTTCTATACACAACCTCAAATAATTATTTTCTGAACCTCATATAATTATTTTCACCTCATGAAAGACTAATCGCGATAGTCCAAAGAAACCGACGTGTACTATACCAATTTTTATTGTTTTTTAAATAAAAAACATGAGCCAAGACTTTAAGAATTAGACCAATATATGAATTACGAAGTGGCAAATTATTGAACCTTTTTTAAGGCTCAGTCAATTTGCACCAAACACATAGGATACTTATTTATTAATTATTTTTGTTTGAACAGTAGATTCCACTAAGTTAAAATAATTGCATGATCATAAAAGCTAAATTTTTGCCTTAAATTTGGAGTGAATGTAAGGGGGCTTCACATGGACAATCACCATCTTTTCAATGGGTGAGCAGTTCTTTCTCGAATGAAATGGATGGTCACAAAATAATTATCTTGATTTTTGGTACAGAATAATTATCATTACCATATCTTTATTGCAATTATTATTAATCAAAGAGTAAGAAAGAAAAAGGGTATCTTTTTTTGTTGTTAGGGTAAATTATCATTTGTTATGGTTTCACCATCCATCCAACATTACCACTTTTTTTAAAAAAATAATAATAATTACCTAAATGATGAAGATTGATTGGACCAGAATTCAAATTTAGAGGTATTCCTTCCCAAAGATTCACCTCTTAAATGAATGTTATTTATTTATTTGTTTTTTTGAAAAAATAACGAAAATTCTTCTAAATGATGGTTAGAAAACGAGTCTTGTTTGAGTTTTAGTCCCACCTTGATCAATGCATCGTTAATCTTTTGAAGCCCTACTTTAATAAAAATCATATATCATATTTAAATGTTTTGTGTTTTTAATGAGTATAAAATTCTAAAAATATGTTATCTTCACATTCATGCATCCACTGAGACATAATTTCTGGTTTATTGTACGTTTTATCCGTCCAAGATCTTTGCCTAAGATTGCTTGATTGTCCACAATTTTCATATGATCGTTCCTGTTAAGAATTTCCAAAATAGAAAGTGACGAAGACTCATGAACACATAACTAAAAACCCAAGTCCAACTTAGACCCATAAATCGTGGTATAGAGCAACGTCAAAACTAGTCGGTCCAAAGTCCCAAGTGAACGGCAACCCCTACAAGGGAGGCCGTCCTTTAGAAAAAATTTAAGAATCCTCCCATCCTAAGGCACACCGATTTTTTTTTTTTTTTAAAGAAAAGACACCAATCACCTTCACTGTTGCTACGAGAATAAAATTTTTAATGAGAATTCTCTAATGATAGATATATCAATTAGGTCGTCACTCGTTATGTTGAACATCAATACTCTAACATATCAAATACAATGATAATAAGATATCAACACTTGTTAACTCACTTAATAACGTTAGGGAAAAAAATATTTTTATTCTTTTCACTATATAAGTTGCACTCACGATTGATCGTATAAAGGCCTAAACCACCACAAAGAAAAAAAGAGTTCTAATCTCTCATTCGAAACAATTTCAAAATAGGTTATGTATCTCGTACGATCCCTTTTCATCCGTAAATTTATTCACAAAGAGTTAAATACTCTATCTAAAAGAGTCTTCTCAAACCAATTCGTTATCTTCCAGCCACTAACTTGATCGTCAAAAGGTTTTACACCCAATCAAGAGGACCTATTTTGTAAGTATTCGAGTGCAAAGAAAACATCCACCACTCTCACCGATCATCCAACCATCATCACCGCCTACATGAGCTACATTGTTCAATTTTATTGGACGAGTCAATCCACGTATTATTAAGAAGTATTAAAATAACTTCAAAGACAATGAAAGGAAAATCTAATTTACTATGTTTAAATTTTGGTTCCTAGTATGACAATTTAAAACATTTACAATGAATCTTATGATGCTCACTTTCACAAATTCAAATATAACAACATAACATTGTGATGAGGTTGTAGAATTTCTAAAAATAATATGATTTTTTAATGATTGTTGATAGGGTTGTGATGCTTGTTAATAGATGGTGGTTGTACTAGATGAAATACTTGTAAAACAAGTATTCCTAATTCGATAAAGAATCATTTGACAATCAAGTTAGTGTAAAAAGAAGAAATTAATCAAAACAAAAGTTATAATACAAAAAGAGGAACAAGATGAATAATAATAGCAATAAGAGAGATTCAAAACCCTTAACATTAGGTCTTTATTGTTGTTTAAAAGATTCGTCAATTTGCATGAAAGGAGGGGATATTGATTACGTATTATTGTTGGAAGAGCATGATGATGTCATTATTAATACTTGTTCGACAAAAATATCTTTATAAGCATGCTCTTATTTATTATGTGTACTCTTTGTTAGTTTGATTCTTCAAGCTATAACCGATCGAGTTTCTCTCGTAAGTGTTCCCCTATAGGGTGAATGCATCCACCCATATATGTTTCGGGAGTAGTTTCATTACTCAAGCTTTTGTCCAAATATGCTAGTAGGCCAAAAATAAGATCGTATATATGTTTGTCGTTTATGGTAAAGACTCGTAAATTTTGTATTGATTCTTCGAGTTATGACCGATCGATTTCCCTCGTAAGTGTTTCCCCGTAGAATGGATGCATCCACCCATACACGTCCCGAGAGTGGTTTCATTAGTCAAGCTTTTTTCCAAGTATGCTAGTAGGCCAAAAGTAAGATTGTATATATGATTGTTGTTTATGGTAAAAGCTCGTAAATTTTATGTAATAACACGTATCATTCTAATATATCATATTGTATCATGATATTACAATTATATAGATAAATATTTACGTCACGATGAATATATTGAAATTTGTATGTTTATGAAAAATTATTTTTGATTTTTTTAAATCCGAATGTGGGCGAAAATCGACTTATAACTTTCTGCCAAGTCTTGAAAGATCTAGCAAAATTGTTAGAATATGAAAGCATAATAATTAAGCACATTATAATCAACTTGTACGTTTTATGTGCTACCACAATAAAAACAAAACAAGAAATAAGGGGGAAAAAAAAGGTAAAAAGTTAGAAAGACAAAAAGAACAATAGATGAGAGGGAAAAGATTCTTTCTACCTCCTTCCACATCAATCTTGGTGGGGAAAGAAAAGTTTCCATCAATTCCAATTTCTACCTTTTTTAGGCCTACAGCACCGATTTCTTTAATATTAATAATAATTAAAAAAAAAAAAACTCTATCAACTTAATTAGCAGCCGCCGCCACCAGTTGCTCCGGAGGTTGTGCTGGCGGAGCCACCAAAAACAGAAGGGGAAAAGTTGTCTCCAAAAGCAGGACTATTGCTTAAACCACCACCACCTCCTTCACTACCACTGACAAGCTCTTGAAACCCTTTAATAAAATCTTCATTTAAGGCCATATTTGGAATCAAAAGATCATCATCATAATCATCATTAATATCATTATCACAATCATCATCATCACTTCCCATCAATCTATGAACACCATCTTCCAAACTCTCTGTTTTGATTATTTCTTGTTCATTTCCTGCTGCTTCAATATGGTCAATGGGAGCTGAAAGTGGGGTTCTTGGAGACAAACTAGTAGCTGAAAGTGGAGAAGAACACAAGGCCTTATCAGCTGAAATATTGGGTAGCTCGGATTCTTTTTCTTCAGGCTTTCGAACTGGTTGTTGAACCTTGTTTCTTGTACTACCGGCAAGTGAGTTCCGGTGAGTCGGACGTGGGTGTGTGTGGTCACCTGTGTAGCTGACAATAAACATATTTGGATCTTTATTGCTCCTCTCCACTTGCTTTCTTGCTGCACACCCTTTTGAGCTGCTGCATCTGTAGTAGTTCCTGTACAAGAAAAAGAACCCACTTCAGGCGATGTTTAGCGACAGGAATCAAAGTATTTTCAAGGAAAGGAAGGCATAATTCAGAAACGGAATAAAGTTTAAACCTTGGATATGGAGAGCCTTTGATGGGTTTTTGACCATATTTTCTCCAAGCCCAGACATCATTAGAGAGATTCTCTGCTGTTACATGCAATATTAGCCTCTTCTGATTACTTTTTCTGTCAAAAAAGAAAAAAGTTGTCAAATTTAAGCATGGACATTTATGAGTAACAATTAAAGTATCTAACAAGAAACGAAAAATTAATTAATCTACTTACTTTTTTCTTGATCTTGGGGTCTGAGATTGTGTGGCTCTTAAAGGAAAGAGAGAAGAAGTGCTAGTCCCTTGCTGGTGCAATTGTCTCCTTTGATTTTGTTGTTGCTGTACACGCTGTGGTTGTTTTTGGCTATGGTTGAACCTGGCGCTAATGGCAACACTAGTGGGTGGTGGGGGTAGTGGTGGTGGTGGTTGTTGTGCAAGTTGTGGTTGATTTTGGCCACAAAAAATAACCCCAAAATCAGAAATGGAAGAGCTAGGAATATTATTCGTACTGGTGGTGAAGCTAGGCAAAAAGGGCTTGTAAGAATCTTGCAATTCTTGAAAACAATTGTTGTTCTTAGGCTGAGCAGCAAGATTTGGAAAGGAAAATGGGCTGAACTCTTCTTCATCATCGTCATCAAAGGTCAAAGAAGCCAAGCGCTCAAAAGGGCTCTCAAAATTGGTGTTGCTGCTGTTTCTGTTCGTAGTCGCAGAGGTGCAACTCCTTACTATTGCATTCAAATCCCAGTCCTGATCCTCTGCCATTGAAGACTCGATCTACCTGCAAATCCTAACCCACCTCTCTATGCTCTTGTTGATTCTAATGGCAAGGAAAGAAGAGGGAATTCAAGGCATAAAGGACACCGCTGACTTTTGAGATTGTGAGAGAGAGAGAGAGAGAGAGAAGAAGAAATGATGATGGTGGAGCACTTGACTTGGTAAATGTTAATTATTATTTATACAAAGAGAGGTGGGTGTTGCAGTTTTTGCTTTATCTTTGACTTTGCGAAAATGTCAAAATGGCGATTGGGGGGGCCAAACAGAGCAAAGCAATATGGCAATGTAAGGAAGAGAGATGAGTTCCTAAGCCCATAGACTTGCCTACTTGCTTCAATCTATGTTGTTTTAGCACTTGAAATTTGATTGGTGGCGAATGCAATGCCATGGCATGTCTTGGAGTAAATTATAAATTAGTCCCTTTTCTTTTAAAAACTCATATTTTAATCTTTTAATCAGTATTAATCGTGTTTAATTTAACCAAAGAGCTTATAATCTAGCGGTAATTATCTTTTATAATAAGAGATCACATGTTTAAATCTCAGCAAGCTAATTCTGTTTGAAGGCTTGAATGTGTGAATTAAAAAAATCACGTTTAATTTAATATTATATTGTTTCAAAAAAATATTTTTTTCTCATTGACATTTCTATAACATCTATCTTTTTCATTTTTCTATTTCTTAAAAAGAAAAAAAATAAAAGATTAAATAATTAGTTTTTAAAATAAAAAGATTAATTTTTTTTTTCAAAACTAAAGAGATTAATTTGTAATTTGCTCCTCTTCTTGCAATATGCCTATGTTCCTGACATTGAGAGTCGGCCATATGGCAACCTAGTAGCTGGAATAAAGTAGACATGCCCCTAGAATCATATTAGATTTTAGGATGAGGTGTACGCACCAAACTCTATCATTAGGATGGTGAGGGCTATCAAAGAGATGTAAATTATAAATTAATCCTTCTAGTTTTAATAAAAAGAATTTATTAGCTTTTACTGCTTTGAAAACTAATTATTTGATAATTTTTTTTATTTTATTTTTTTTTCAAATAGAAAAAATGAATATTATAGAAAGTTTAATAAAAAAAGATATTTTTTTAAATAAAGCCATATTAAATTAAACGTGATCAGTATTAATAAAAAATTAAATAATTAATTTAAAAAAAATTAATTTATTTATTTTTAAAACTAAAAAAATTAATTTATAATTTGCTCGAGCTTTTATGAGATTAAATTCATTCTAATAAATTATTTTTATTTAGATTCGTGTGAAGTTTTAGATATAAATTGAGTCTTTGCTTCCACGAATAGTTAGAAGCTTCTTGCACTAACCTAATCTACAAAGTAGCTAGAGGGTTTCCACATATTTATTCGAAATGATTGCAAGTAATTCTCCAAATCAAATAATAAAAATATGATTCAACAACATTTCAAATTATAGAATTAGAGATGAATAATGTGCCCAGCAAATTGTTCGTGATATGTTGTAGGTGCAATGGGGCAACTAGTATGTTATATCAAGTTTCACTTTAGTTTATAAAGAATAAATTATCACAATGTTGCCCTCATAATTTTTCAATTGTAAAAATTTGATCCTAGTGCAATACTAACAATCAAATTAAAAATTAAAAAAAAAACCTCAAATTCTATTTTAAAAAACAAGACATCTTGAATGTCATGGACATGTAGGCATGAAAAATATTTGCCAACCTATTTTTTAAAATCTATTTAAACAGTTAAATTCAATTGTAATGTTCAAAATATTATTTATACAGTGAATTTTTTCATTTTATATGCCTTTTACGTATTAAAGTTAAATGAAAAATTTTAAAATTTTAACCAAGATAGACTATCTATATCAAAATTAAGAGAGTAATCAAAATTGTGTTGGCTATCGGTTTTGAAATTAAAGTGAACGACGTTATAACTATACATTTCCTGAGGACTAAAATTGAAAGGTGTGGTAAGTAAGAGGAGTAAAAAGTAACATCATTAACAGTACTGGGCCCACAGGTCCCGTAAAGTAAGCCTTCTCTCTCTCTCTCTCTCTCTCTCAAATACTGGATCCCACGATGGTACCGCGTTGGTGATGAAAGGATCTTGACCGCAGGATCAAATCTAACGCGGATGGAGATAATCTTGATTTTGCGGGCCCCATATATCCTCCACAGACGAGACATACGTGGGTACTTGTACGGAAAAGAAATGTTCTCGTGTTAATTGGCTTATATACCTGTCTTTTTTGGTGAAGAATCTTGAGCCGTTAAAAATGTTTGATTAGGTTCCTTGTTATTTTTATTGATTGATGATGCTTTTCTTACGTGGGAATCTTTGCATTTTTAACGGTTGGTAAAAAATCTTGTAAGGTACGTAGAGGGTAAATTGTTAGGCATTTTATTTGCGTTTGCGACTAATATTTACCATCCGAACAAAGCCTCGACCGTAGATAAATTTAACCAAAGTTAAATAAGTGTGGTTTGAAGGTTAATTAACACCTTCTTTCTCTCCTTAAGTCTCTTTTATAAACATGTTTTGAATTCAAAAAATATTAACTCATGGGCATATATGTAATTAAAAATTTTAATTTTTTTTCAAGTATTTTCATTATATAGTAAAGATATAATTTATCATATTCGAACGAAAATAACAAACGTTAACTTCTCTCGATAAATACAATTCTAAAATTCAAACCTTGTACACTAGTAGAAAATTCGTTTGAAAATTAATTCATTTATCGCTAGACTAATAACTTGTTGGTGCTGATTTTTTTTATATATAAAAATGTTTTGTGTTCAAATATATTTTTTTATTGAGGGTGACTAATTAAGTTAATCACCGATTAGTTTTGGTATATTAAATAAGAGAATTGCCATTCTATATGCCACATCAATACTACATGGTCATTAAAGAAAAACAAGGGAAGGAGTGAGTCCTGTAATTTGTCTATAGTTTTAGCCTTTAGGGCTGCCTCCTTCTCACTAGACTAAATCTAATTTTGCCTAAATTTTTATACACGTATGACCACATTTTAGGTGCTATTCATTGAGGTTTCTAAGAACGTCTATGTCTATAAAAAAAAAAAAAAAAAAATCTTTTTGGATAATAAATTCAATTCAATGCTGCACTTATAAGATATAAATCCTATAGTTATATTCAAATTGACAAAATTATTTGATATTTTGAGTTTATTACTCCCTCTATATAAATTCATTATATCAAAATGTTCATATTAGTTTGTTTTTTTCAACAATCAAATTATTCTCAAACTAGTTTTTACATGTAACAAAATAAAATTTATTTTCACTCATATCTTTAACTAGATCATTCATTGTTGAATTGGTGTGCATTTTGTAAACTTCTTTTTTTTTCTCTCTCTCTCAAGACTTTTTTTATATAGATTCATATAAACGATAGTGAATAAAACAAATTAATATGATTTACAAAAGGTTTTGTCCATATACGGTCATTTTATTTTTTTAATTGTTTTAATTGAAATCTTGTTTTTTTTTTTTTTAATGTTGATTGAGTCTCTCTATTTTTCATTTTATTTTGTTTTTGTTTCTTTATTATAATGTTGTTAGTTGTGAGCTAACGTGGAGCATCTACTCCCAAAAACACAACACATGTCATACGTAAAACTCTAATATAAAGAGTCAATTAAAACAATTTAAAGAGTACAGGACTTCAATCAAAACAATTCAAAGCATGCAAGGATCAAATTTATTTTTTTAATTTTCATGTTATTATGCTTTTAAAACTCGCATTTTAAATACTACAAAACATGTCATATGTGAGAATTTATAGTAGTAAGACTCAACAAAACTAACATGCAATTAAAAAAAAAAGGTACTACCATGTTCGTCAAACTAAAATGAAAACAATAATAATGTTGACTAGTAGCTAATTATCTATATTAAAGAAGAAATTATAGTGCAATCTCAAGTTTTTTTGAAATTGCAACTCTATTTTTTACTTTAAATTGGTCAAATATTCAAAATTGATTGCTTTTATAGATGAATAGACCCAATACATGGAGTATTTAACCGATTGATATTGCACATCAATGTATTTTTGTTTTAATAATTATATATTAGGTTTTTTTTACATATTATTTTTTATTTATTATAATAATTTTTTTTAAAAAAATATTTCATAATTTTAATTTGATGGGATCTTACATATGAAACTTTTCATGCATTTATTATAAGGCTTTTTCTCATTAAAAAAATGTGAAAATTAAAAAAGAAAAAAATTAATCCCTACACTATTTGAATTATTTTGATTAAAATCGCATACTCTTCAAATTATTTTGATTGAGTCTTTTACTAGGATTCTATATATAATGCATATCACATTTTCAAGAGTGGAAGCACCATATCGTTGTCACATCAACTAGCAACTAACATCGTTATAATGAAAAAAAAATAAAACAAAATAAAGAATAGAATGATTCAATCAATACGAGTTTTAATTAAAATAATTCAAAAAATAAAAGAATCATATATGGACAAAATCCCATTTAAAAACAAATTGTGGTAAAACAACACATTGTTCTTTAAAAAAGAAGCAAAAACAAGAGAATATCACTAAAAGGAAAAGGGCAATGAAGAATATATACTTCTAAAAACGAGAGATATCCGTACATAAATATACTCTTTCTCCTTCTTTGTGGGGAAAGGTAAAAAAAGTGATATCCAAGAAGAAATTTTTGTCTACCAAAATATGAACACTTCAAACACAGAAACCTTTTATTTATTTTTTATTTAAATGAATGGAATATTGTAATTTACACGTTGATGATTGATTGTGGAAAATGAGATAGACGGTTTAATAGAATACTTGGCATAGAATTTTTTGTTGACGATGCCAAAACATTAAATGGGTTAGCAAAGCTAGGTACTTTTAACAAGTAAATTATAAATTAGTTCTTCTTGTTTGAAAAACTATTTACTTTATTTAATAAAATGCCATCTTTCTTATCAATCCTTTCATATTTTTTTACTTATTTTTTCTATTTTTTAAAATAAAAAATCGAAACAAATAAAAAATGAGCAAAAATAACTAAGTTACAAGAAAATTAAAAATATAGAAACGAAATAATTATTTTTTAAAACTAAAAAGACTAATTAATTTATTTTCTCAAATTAAAAGGACTAGTTTATAATTTACTCTATTTTTAAAGAAGCCTAAGGTTCACAAATTTAAAATCATATATATATATATATATCCACCATTACCTCCTGTGATGCAAACAATTCCCTAGCTTTTTGTTAAGGAGATGAGGTCAAAAATTCCTAGGTAAGGGAACGAGGATCCTTGATTGATAGTTTCTTAGATGTCCTTTTCACTTGCTTGATTGATTTTATAAGGCAAAAGCTCTTGTCAAAAAACTTCTCTCTTACAAAGTTCTTAGTTAAGGGAATGAGGATCTTTAATGGAAGAAATTTTACTTTTAAAACAAATTGGAAGACCCATGGTCTCTCATAATATAACCTAATGATATCCCATATACTTATGTTCAATCAAAAAACATAACAATTTATTTATTAATTTATTAGGAAGGTAAAAATTTAGAAATACAAATGGTTCATTTTAGGGAAAAAAAAAATTCGTCGATGTTCTTGAATAAAAGTTCCAAACAATTGATTAGAACTTCAAAAAACATATTAGATTTCAACTTTTTAAAACATCAATATAAGTTATTGGTCAATTCGTACATCTATCTAACGTAGTCAATAAAAGCTCGTAGAAGACTACTAAATTCTCATTTTTAGAAAATAAACATAATTAAAAAGTCAATTTGCATAATTATTTTTCTCATTATGGATATGACGAAAACGAACATAACATCTTTATAATATTTAGTTCAACCTAGATTCATTGATGTTTCATGTGTTATCATTTAGGGTATAAAGCTTTTAGAAAGAAATATTTATAAATACAACATTTGTGGATTATTATTTTTCTTTCAAAAATCTAAGATGAACTAAACTAAACTAGTGTGAAAATTAGAAGAAGAAGAAAAAAAAGTCTACTTCTACACCAAGAATTGAAACTCACTCAATTGCTGGAATATTGTAAGTTTCTTCAAACTTGTTACCAAGTTCAATCAATTTGGATTGATGTTGTCCTTATCAAAACCTTATCAAACCGTCCAAATTGACTTGGAAAGTTGCTAAATCTTAGTTTACTTGCGAAAAACATGTCGTTGTTAGACAAGAACATACCCCTCTGACTAATAATAATACCTTTCTTGGCGTCCTAGTTAGATGGCATTTTGACATAACTTTATGTCTTCATGGAGCCTGAAATACAGGTAGGGTTTTAATGGCATGATAGTTACTGCAATTGTGGGATCATGCAAGATGTGCATTAAATGGTTTTTTTTTTTTTTTTTTTTTTTGGGGTTTTGAGAGGTGGGTTTGGCAAGTTATGAAAGCAAGTGTTCATGGGTGTGGCTTTTTTGAAAGCGATGTAGAGATAGCTAGCATTGTTGTTCAAAAGCAAAGATGTCAATCCATTTGCAACTTCTCCCCCCACCTCCACTTCGTTTTTTGCCTTTTCTGTTCAATCAAATCTGATAAATCTCCAAACTTTGCATTCCAAATTTGCCATGTGAGAGGAGAGGAGAGGGGGCACCATCCACTACTTTGTAGTGTGGGAAGAACAAGTGCTGCACCCAAAGTAACCATGAAAGTATCACTATGATACTGTGTAGTAACAGTACTTTAGCGAAAATGCGTTTGAACTGAAAATACATCAATTTTATGTTTTCTTTTTCTTTTTCTTTTTCAAACATTTTGATATCTTTATATCATAACCATAAAAAAGTACTGTTCAAACCATAGATTCGCCAAAAAATGTATTAATTTGATGTTTTTTTTTTGTTTGAACAACGATATGATAACAAACAGAGCCAATTGTTTTCCTCTTGTTTATGAATGGCAATGGGTCGGTCCTCGCCTCCACCCTGCCCCTAAATATTTTATCTTGTCCCCGCCTCGTGTTTCGTGTGGGATAATATTTTTCATATTATTTTCGCCCCAAATAGGGATAGGGATCCTGGCAAGAGATTGATGCCTCGTTTAATTTTTTGTTTCCGTCCCGTCTCGCTCCATTTTAGTACAAATTTCAAATTATAGAAAAAAATGATAGTTCACATAAAAAATAAAATCTAAAAATCAGTAATCATAGATTTTATATAAGGTATAATTATAATTTTAGGGATAGAATAAGCAAATACCATCCCTACCCCATCCTCATTCAAAATTAATATGGACGAGATGTCTAATCAATTCGAAAAATTTCTACGATGATCGAGACGGGATGAGGTAAGATGGGACAAATTGCCATCCTAGTTTATGATTTGTAACTGAAAGTGAACTTCAGTAGTGAACAATAGGACATCCTTAAGCTTTGTCTCAGCCTGCTCATTATTGAATGTCATTAAGAATCTTGTTCCCAGAAATGGAATAGAATCTTTTGTGTGGTCATAAATCACATTCGCATATGATCACGTGACATTCTTAGGGTTCATATTCTAACACAACTAGCACAAACTTGAAGCCAGACAAAACACTTGGCTGAGGGCAACGATCGCTTCATTTTCTTCCATTGCTAATGCTGATAAACACTAGGTTACATTACAGGAATAAGGTAAACTCAACAGGCCACCGGGGGCAGAAGAAATTGGAAAATGAAATTTCGGTTCTAGAAGAAATTATTGTCTCAAAATTACAAGCCAAATGACATAACCAGCTCAACTGAAAGATTGTCTGCATCAAGTTACATAAATTTACTTTTTACAACATTAGGACTGTATAATGCTCAATGATGCACCAGTAACAACAGACTCTGTAAGAAGCTAGCCGACATATGACCTGCTAAACAATGCACTATCAACTTCACAATTTACATCTTCCTCTCTCTTTGGTTAAAGGAAATTATGCAACTCTTGCCAAAGAAGCCTTATTTTTTTCTTTTGGGTGTCTCTTCAGTTGTTTTCTCCACGAACTCATCAAGGGGAACCTGTCTTTGAACCTGTCTTTGCCATGCCTGAATAGTAATCCCCAACATTTGCAACAAAAAGTGGATCCCTATCTTCGACTTCTAACTCACTAGTACTATTGCTAATCCCACAGTCATCTGTCTGATCTGTGTGATCTAGCTCTTTTGTCAGATCCTCCATTGTCTTTTTCAAACTAGCTTTGCTCAATTGTCCTGCGTCTCCAGTTGAGACACCAACCATTGTAACCTTTGGAAGAAAAGGATTAGACTCTAACTTCTGTTTTAAGCAGTCCCTTGATGAAACTTCCTTTCTGCAAAAGAGGAGAAGGTGACAAGTGTGAGAGAACCATAAGGAATGCATATGTTGGTATCATGTGGATCAGCATATGTAGCACCTTCTGTCCAATTCCCTTTCAGATTTGCCCTGTCTTTTCAACCATGGATGACCAAACCAATCTCCAAATGGCAACCGTAGATCTTTTCTCTGTTCATGATCGGTTTGAACATTGTCTTTTAATCTATGTTCTGAAGTGCCATCATCTGTTTTACTGTTGACAAGACACCTGGTTGACTCTGATGCTCTTTGTAAAGAAGATGCACTCCTGCAGCAAAGTGAACATATTGTTGCAATTGGTGTAATAGAATTCAGTAATGGGATTTCTACAGAAAAGCAAATCAAGAAAAGAACCCCCATTTCAGTTCAGAGAATAAAAGAAAACAGATAAAAGAGGTAATCATCAATTGCCAAATTTCGTATCACATAAATCTACAACTTGCCTGGTCACCTTACACCTTCCTTTGGAACTCACAATAAACAAAGAGTAGATGTCAATGACCCATTTCTTAAACTCTTCAATTTATGTTCTGAAGTCCCATTTCATATAGAGAACGTAATATCAATGACCCATTTCTTACTGTCTTTCCTTGTGTGTGTTGTTGTACTTTGAGATTGCACAAGTGAGTCTTTCAGAAACTCTTCAATGTTCAAAACAGTGTAAAAGTTCAATTCACAGAAATAGATTCTTAACATAAGGACGAAAGTCAGGTCAAGAGATTTGCTGGCTGTTATTTGCCACTGCACTTTTACAATTGTACTCACCACACTACATGAACAAGTTTAATTAACTACATGTCGAATGAAACTCTTTCAAATGATATTTCATCTTCAGTAGACAAGACATCGACCAGTCAAAAGATGGTAAAATATTAGAAATTCCTGTTGGCATGCACTCAAAATCCATAATTTGCTTCTCTATTATATTTGATCCAAAGAGCAAGTCTGTCAGAAAGCAGAAGCGTGGAGATTTGCAAAAATCCACATGCACATACAAAGGAACCCAACAGAAGAAACGCTAAGGTTTACTTAACCAGCTTCATGTACATGCGTTGCAAACTTACAATTCTGTCAAGCAGGGTAAGTGATACTTTAATATACCCATTCCCGTCAAATTCATTTGCCATGAAAATTTTGTGGTATTAGGAGTTGGAAATGAAGATTTCATACATTATAAGTAAAACACAAATGAGTAAAAAAAAAAAAAGCATGGGAATACCTTCTCTCAAATGAATCAACCAAGTAAGGAAATTTCGGCTGAATGCCAGTGGCTTTTCTCAACCACCTATTACCAAGAAGTACTCTGTCAACAGCATAAAGGAGCTGAATTTCTGCAGCCTTTGAAATGACACTCAGAGGTATTGCAGGATGCCCTATCTCATCCAGCACTTCCTGAACCTTTCGACCAAAACAACAGTCAAAGGAAAAAGAAAAAAAACACCATAGCATATACTCGCATATGCAAAACCGAAAACACACAAAGCAGGTGTTTCTCAATTCCCCGCATGAATCTGTTGTTTCACCAGCTTTATGACTAGACAAGTGCGTCATAAATGCTAGACTAACAAAGTTAGTACCTCTGGTGGTTCCAATAGGCTGTCTCCCATTTCTTCAATCACTTCTGCGGCAACATTATCATCAGTCACATCACGTCGACGTTGCATGTGCCTAGTTTGAATTAAAGCATGGAAATGCTGATCAACAGACTCATCAAGAATGTTATCTAGCATGTTTTTATCGAAGAAGTATGGAGTATACCTGATTAACAGAGTAAACAACAAAAAGTTAAAACTTGAATACTCCAGGTTTACAAAAAATAAACAGCAAGTTTACACAATGGGGATTCAATGAGGAGACCAATCCTTTGTAAGAAACTAAGATAACCATCCTTAGATTATGATTCTCATATTTTTTTATATTGAAAGGCAAACAAGAGTTGCAGATACAAGCACAGAAGGAAACTACTAAAACTTGACAACCCGAAATAAAAGATTAAAAAAATTAATCTAACCACAAAATTCACATCATTGCAAAACCCTATTTGGAGAGAAGATCAGCAAATTAAGGTACAAGAAAATTTTTTATCTATGAACAGGAATTCTTTGATTATACAAGAGAATCAATACACACCACTTAATCCCATCTTTAGTAGCTATTGCAATATCTAAATTTTGAGCGCTGAAAACAGGAACCCCATCAACCCTCCTGCTCCCATCACTATGCGGAATAGTCTTTAGAAGTTGGTTTGCTGCCTTGACCTGTGAGAACAGAAATCAGATAAAAACAGAATTATGAATATATCACAACAGATACTAATTTGTGAATACCACATGGTCTGATCATACGGTACCTGTTTCTCATTTGGAACAAACTGAAATAGGTGAGGTTTCTCCTGCATAACAAAAAGAAAAATTCAGATGCTAGCATCATTCCAACAATGAGATGAAATTAGAAATATGAATAGGATCAAGGAATTTGGATGTTGTCCAGGAAAATAAGTGTCTATAAGTTTTGCAACAAAAGTACTAGTAATTGCATATTTCAGAGCATGAATCAGCAAAAACCACATCCTATCTATTTGGATTGGCGAGAGAATGTAAGGCAGCACTAAAACTCTGCAAGCACAGCAGGGAAAAAGGAAAGACTTAAACTGTTATAGAAGTAAAGCATCACAAGTTAATCAGTTGCTAGACTATCTAGACTTGAACAGCACCCATACGCTGCTGTAACACTTTAAATCTTATAGAAGTAGAGCATCGCAAGTTAATAAGTTTGCAGCAAAGGATAGCATGTTATAACATCAAGAAACTGTTATAGAAGTAGAGCATCGCAAGTGAAGAAATTGAACTGAAATAAGCTTCAAAAGTAACATCCATGAATCTATAGTGTGAATTACTGCATGATGTTCAGAGAAATAAAAAACAAAAGGAAGAATAAACTGGTAAAAATAGGTTTGAATGTGATATGACAACTTGGCTGCATACATAATAAAACATAAAGACTATCCATCTAACGAAGCAACATACCTTAAAGTGTTCATATGCTAAGTCAAGACGACAAGCACCCACCACACCACTTGGAATATTCAGCTGTTTAACATACGCAACTAGAAACACAAACCAATGCAGCATGCAAGTTACTTTTAGCAGATAAAAAAAGAAAAAAATCAGCTCAATTGAGTAACAGAATTTTCAAAGATCGTGTAAAACGAAACGAACGACAATGACATGCATAAAATCTCGAATCACAATGCAAGAAGTTACTTCTTGTAGATTAAATTAAACTAACCGTTAAAACTGCTTTCAACTTATGCTCTTATAAGCACTACTGGCTCTAACAACGATTAACATCTATAGTAATAGATATGTGAGTTCTAGGGTATTCATTTATGCTATGATCCACAAGAAAGATAAAAAAAAGGAGTTGTTTCCAAAAAGCAGTAAAAAATATTTGAGTCTTGTACAACCCAGCAACAGATATAAGAGGTTATAAAGCAATTTCCATCCACACCTGCATCACCTAAATCCATGAAGAAACGAAACACGGGACCATTCCTCTCACTCTTGGTAACTGTTGCAAATATCTTCTTAAGCCACTTGGGTGTCCTAGAGAGCAAAGAATACCAATCAGATATAGTAAAGCATCAAAAGTAGAATCTTGCAAAACTGACTGCATTTCCAAAAAATAAAAAGGTCTGATGCATGATCATGCCAACGTCAAACACGCATATTAGCTGATCAACAATAAACCATTCTGTGATTTACTAACTAAAAAAACTGACGAACCAAGCCAAAATTCAGTCATTTCAATTCTATTGAAAGCCCAGAATCCAACTTCCAATATGGTTTCTTAATAACCATGTATCTAAAAAACTACTAGACAAGAAAACAACAACGAAGCGGCAATCCCAAACTAGTTGGGTGCCAGCAATTCAGATCCTTTTGTGCCATTCATATCAAAATGATCCATACCATAGAAATGTCAAGGTTTTATGCTGGCAGTTGACCTAACGCAACCCTCCCCCTCTATCCAGACTTGCGACCAGCTATTCTAAGCTAAGCTAGCATAGGCAGAGTTCTACTAGATCATAAACATCAAAAGAAAGGCCCTTATTTACACCAGCCAGTTCCAATTCTACCAAATATCAATACATATATTGCACTCTCTCAGCATAGTAAGTTACTATAACAACTCAAGGCTGAAACTTTTGACTGCATATATTCAAATCCTTCAAATTCAAAACAAAAACTACAAATTACTGAATCAGCTAAGCTAAAAAGGAGACACAAGTCCAAAACAAATGTGAAGGCAATAGAAAAGACCTTTTGGAAATGAAGGGAACATCAAAATGAGTAGAAACAGCCATGAGACCAGTCCCTGAAAGATCACACATGCTAAAAACTTGCCCTACAAAAGCAGGCCCACCACCTTTTCCATTAGAATTAAGCCTTCCAATCCTGACTGCTGATGGAAACCCAGAATTTGACTCAGCAGAAGATAACCCTTCTACTGAGGCTGGTGATGATTTTGATGGGGAGACTAAGTCAGACTGAGTTGACTCAAACAGAGAGGGAGTGGATTGGGTGAGTGAGAGAGGGGAAGCGGGAAGGTGGAAAGGGATGCAAATTTTGGATTGGGGTGATGGTGAAGGTGGGTTTTTGGGAGGAGAGAGAAGAGAGAGGAGGGATTTGGTTGTGGAGTTGAGGAACGTGGAGAGGTGGTGGTGGGAGTGGTGGTGGTGGTGCTGCTGTGGTGGTTCTGGCGGTGAAGGCATGGTGGGGTGGGTCACGGGAAGGGGAGGGGGTGGTGGTTTTGCTGGAGGACTTGAGGATTTTTGTTTTTCAGATTACATTGGGAATTTTTTTTTATTATTATTTCTTATTTTTGCCCTTTTTTTCTGGGAAAAATATTTTATTTTATCTATGAGGGACTAAAAGTAAACTATTTTTTCTAAAGGAAAAGACAAAAAGATAAGTAAATCCAACTTCTCTTAGATTTTAATAAAACTAACCTTTAGTCCCTTAATTCTTTAAGGTTAAGATATAAATCTAAGATTTTATATTATGGTAAAACTTAACCTTTTCTTTTCTTATGTGAATTATTTTTTCATAAAAACATTTTATGTTTAATATAATTAACATATCGATAAATAATTATGTCTACATTACATATAGTGACAGTGACAGTGAGATGATGACAACGATGACATTAATGATAATAAGATGATCCTAATTACAAAGATAATAGTGATATGATAATTAAAATAATTTAATATAATTGTAAATTAATTATTTTTTAATAACATGAAAGTTCATGAATAACGCGAAAATTCATTAGTGTAATATGTGTTTTAACAAATAAACTTAATCTTTAAATTGATTGTAAGAATATCAACGCCTAAAATGATATTTTCGCCATGTATTATTTTTTTATAACTCAATTAGAAAATTAGATTCCAAATTCCATTAGAACCTCTCATGCATTGAATAGTTCGTTAAAAATTTTGATGGAAGTAACTTACTCATCTATGAGACAAAGGTCTTAGAATTTGAACTTTTTAGATTAAATATAACTTATTTTGGTGCATAATAAAAGTTTTATTGAAATAGAGTAAATTATAAATTAGTCCCGTTTTGCCAAACAAATTAATTAATCTCGTAACAAGTATTGATCATATTTATTTTAATATTATTTTATTTCAAAAAAGTTGTCTTTTCTTATTTATCTTTTCAAAAAATTTTCTTATTTATTATTTTCCATTTATTATAATAAAAAAATTAAAAAGAATGAAAATGATTAAATTACAAATAGATTTAAAAATATTAAATAATTAATTAGTTATTGAAACTAGAGTGATTATTTTATTCCTTTTTTAGAAAAACAAGAGGGACTAATTTATAATTTACTCTAGTTTTGTTTAATTGGTGTTATAATAGGTAACTTCTTACATTCAATAAAATAGCTACCTTCTTTTACCAAAAATAAAAAATAAAATTCATCAACTAATTTTTAAATAACCAACATAGTTTACGAAAGTATCATAATATTTGTGTGAACTTTCTTTTGAGATGCAAATTAATTTTAAAGTTTTGCGTATTATTATTATTCAGGTTTTTCTACTTTTGAAGGGCAAGTTTAGTGGTCAAGGAGATTTGATCATATTTTTTATTTCTTAAATTCGAATTTGGAAACCAACATCTAAGGAGTTTTATTCTCTTGAGTACACTAGGATAAGTGCGTTTTCAAAATTAATTAGAGAAAAAAATTATTCGAGTCATACTTATTACGATACGATAGTAGGACATGATAATAAACATTCAATAATCTTTTAATATGACAATCAATAATTGACATATCTAATCGAAAAATTTACCTAATTTACTAATAAGGTGGTCAGAATATTAGCCTATTGACTACCGCATGTCTATGTTCGTAAATCGATGAATTTGAAATCATTAATTTGTATTATTGAGTATTAACAATATCGAAACTAAAATCTAGGAGTAAGCAAACGGTTTGATTAACCGAAAATCAAATAAAACCGAATCGAATTATGAAATTGGATTCGGTTTTAAATGTAAAATTATACAATATAAAACCGAATCGAAAAAATCGAAATTATTTCGATTAGGTTCGGTTTTTAGAAAAAAATTCGGTTTCGATTGAAAATCGAAATAAATAGTAAAAAAAATTTTATTTTCTAAATCCCTAACTTTTCGATCTTCATTCTTGCTGAAATTGAAACACGCATATGGAAAGTAAATTTTGAGGACCGTTGGGGTAAGAAAAGAAAGTGACATGGTGTAATTAATTGGGATACGAGTGTGTTTGAATGACAAAATCAATTACACTTTGATCGGTTTTCATTAAAGCCTAGTTAAAATCTTCAAGGGCTTTGTGATTGTCTATAAAAAGAATTAATTTATAACAAGATGTTACTTTATTGGCTAGTGGACTAAGTGCTAGTACAAAACATCTTTCTGTAATGATTTTTTTTTTACAGCAAAATATTTTAGTTAAAATCGAAATATTTCGAAATCAAACCGAATTAATTCGGTTACAAACCAAATTTATTTTGGTTCGGTTTTGGTTTTTATTTTTCTTAATTCGGTTAACCAAAAATCGAATCGAATCGTATAAAACCAAACCGTTTAACCGAATGATCACCCCTATTAAAATCTATCCTTATTATTAATATCAAGGCATGGCTTCAGGGTACATGATAAAAACACATATAATATATAACAAAAAAATTAACTATTACTTTTTTTTTTTTAATAGATAGAAAAATAACTATTGCTTATCTATTATTTCATTACATAAATCACACTTCACACCATATCATGCTAAAGTCAGAACTTTAATATTAATAATCAAATTCAAATTTATATTTAATTTAATTTTGGTGTTATATTTGCGTACTTTGTTTGGAATGTTAAATTCGAATACATGGAAAATTCAATCAATATATAATTTTAAAACATCAACTTCATTGCCAGATACGAAAAAACACACAATTCACCATACCAAACATCAAGTATAAATCAAAAGGATAAATTACATTTTTATTGCTCTAAATTTAACATTGTTTGTTTTGGATCCTTAGATCAAAAACTTACGAATACTAATTTAATATTTTTAAAATTTTTAATTTGACACTTTTTATTAAATAGCTAAACCAAAACACACAACGAGCTCGCTTTTGAATTATTTTATTAAAATAGGCTAATGGTAAAGAGGATGATGCATTGTTATATTTTCCAGAAGAGATATTAAGAAATTAATCCCATCTTTAATATCATTTCTTTCGAAAGAGATTTCATTTCTAAAACTCAATATTTTCAACTTTTGAAAACATCAAGATTGAAATGAAAAAAAAATTAAAACTATAAGAAATGAAGATCGTTATTTATAAATTTGGAAGGAAACATAGTTTTTGTTTTACCCTGATCGAAACCCACAATTATAGAGTAAATTATAAATTATTTTCTGTAGGTTTCAAAAACAAATCAAGTAGTCTCTTTTCTTTCAAAAATAATTAAGTAATTCTTATATTTTTAAATTTTTTATAACTTGATTTTTTTAATTATTTTTTTCAGTTTATTTTATTTTTGTTTTAATAAATAATAAATAAAAATAAGAAAAAATTGATTAAAAAATATGATTTTTTTAAAAACAATATTAAATTAAACACGGTTCATATTAATTAAACAATTAAATAAATAGTTTTTAAATAAAAGAGGAATATTTAAAAAAAACAAAAGGACTAATTTATAATTTACTCCACAATTATTACTAAGAAACTAAAACGCTTTGGGAGTTCACTGTTCAAATTAACAATCAATGAATAGTGAACTCCTCATGTATTGTTCACTTGAAGAGTATTCAGTTTTTTTTTTTTTTTGAAATTATTTGGTTTTTTTTTTGTTTTTGTTTTTTTGACTTCACCCTCACATTATACTGTTACTCAATATTACTTTTTTTTTCCTTTTTTAATCTTCACTCTTTGTTTTTTTTTTTTTTTACTTTTACATTATTTTTTTCTTTTATAATTTCCACTCTTAGTTTTTTTTTTAAAATTTTTTAAATTATTTCATTTTAATCCTTAAAATTTTAAAATAAGCAATTTAATCCCTAGTTGATGCTCTCTCTCTCTCTCTCTCTCTCTCTCTCTCTCTCTCTCTCTCTCTCTCATATATATATATATATATATATATATATATATATATATATATATATATATATATATTACTTTTTTCATCAATTTATGATCTTTTTTTTATTGAATTGAGTGTTAAAATTTTAAAAAATCGATTGTTATTTTTTTTGCACTATACTACTCAATCTTAATTTTTTCCTTTTTTTTTTTAATAATTTTCACTCTTAGTTTTTTTTTTAAATTTAAATTATTTCATTTTATCCCTAAAATTTTAAAATAAAAATTTTAATCCTTAGCCGATGCACTATATATCTTTTCTTTTTTTTCTTTGGTTTTTTTTTTGTCAATCAATTTATGTTCTTTTTTATTTCATTGAGTATTACAATTTTAAAAAATTGATTATTATTTTTTTCATACAAGTCGATGATTATATAATATATATAGATCAAATGTATATATTTTAAAAATCACTCCCTCACGCTGTATTGTTCACTCTTTTTTTTTACATTTTTCTGTCATTTTCAAATTATTTCATTTTGATCTTTAAAATTTTAAAATTTTAAAATAAAAATTTTAATTCTTATCCGATGCATTACATGCCTATCTTTTTTTTCTTTACTTTTTCCATTAATTTATGTTTTTTATTTAATAGGATGTTAAACTTTTTAAAAATCAATCGTTGCTTTTTTTCACTTAAACCGATGATTATATAACATATATAAATCATATGTATATACTTTAAAAAAATCTTCTCATCAACATTAAATAAGAATAAAATTTTATTTTTTCACCGATTAATTTTTATGCAAATTTATACATTGATTATAACTTTATTTTTTCGATATATTCTTATAAAATAATATATTTTTAAAGTTTTTTTTTTATGGCAATACTTGTTCTCCCACTCACAATATACTATTCACTTTTTTTTAACCCTTGCAATGTACTATTAACTCCTTTTTTTTTTTTTACCCTCACAATGTACCATTCACTCCTAGGTTTTTTTTCTTTTTCTTTTTAAATTTTCACTCTTAATTTTTTCTTTTTTCTTAATTTTTTTAATTTTCAAATTATTTCGTTTTGATCCTTGAAATTTTAAAATAAAAATTTAATCC